GCGCGGCCCCACCCGTGGCTGGGTTTGCCACTGTGGGACAGCCCATCACCTCAACCACCGTCATCCCCTGCAGCCGGTTCTGATGGGTTGGGTGGGGGATCGTCAAGGTTCCCACATGGGGACCGAGGAGGCGCTGGTACTCCTGTGGTGCTGCCCTCCGCCTTCACTTAGGTGAAGGCCCTACGCTGTATTTGATGGTTTTGTGCAAAGTCCCTGGAGCTGGAGGGACAAAGCTCCAGGACATTTCCAGGTGGCCCCTAGCACCTAGATGCGATGGTTAGTCGAGGCAGTCCTTTCATGCTTTAACCCTAGCAAGGTAAATAAGCTTGAAAGCTTTAGTTTCATCTTAGTATCTTTAGCTTATCATTTACTTCTTGACCGAGAGAAGGCAGTAGCTGCTCCTCAGCTCTCCTACCTTGACAGGGTGGAGGTATCCATCCCCTCGGAGGGTACCCAAGCCCTCTCCTGGTGACTCTTCCTCATCCTGGAGGCTGCGGGTGAGGTGTGCGATGTAGGTGGTGGCCAGGAGGAGTACATCCAGCTTGGAGAGCTTGGTGTCGGGCGGCACGGAGGGGAGAGTCTTCTGCAGCTCGAGGAAGGCATGGCGCAGGGTTTGAACACGGCTGCGCTCTCGAGCGGCGTTAGCGGCGGCGGGTCTGCCCGGAGGTGCCCCAGCCCGCTGCCCCGCTACCGAGGGTGGGCAGGAATTGCTGCCGGCAGCAGAAGGCAGCAGGGAATCGGGCTCTGTGCCCGGGCCGGAGATCTCCTCGCTGCTCTCAGCTAAGTGTCCACAGTCCATTGGTGACTTCCCCGGCAGGGTGGGTCCTGCAACCAACAAGAACATCTCTAAAGCCAACTGCTGCACCAAAGCAAATGCTTTCTAAAAACAAGGATTATCAGAAAAACAAGTGCTGCCTGTGCCAGGAAAAGCTGGGATGGCTCCATGCAGCTGTATCAGCTGCTTTTCTGCTCGCTGCTTATACATTTGGTATCACACACAGGTATGGAAACATAAGTTAAAAACTTCACAAAGTTTGGTAATTAATTTTTTGGGGGGGCAGTATTACACAGGGCAGTTTCTTTGAATCACTCATAGCCCAAAGATCACCCGGCTTTTCTGAGAAAACCCAACCGGCAACGCTGAGCAACACCACCACAGTGCTTGCCATTTACAACCAAATAAAAGTTAGGCTAAATGTGATGATTTTTTTTTTAAAAAACACATTATTTGTATAATTTGGGATGTGGGACTGTGTGTATATTTTCTATTTACCTGCCATTATTTTATTTATGGTCCTTTAAGTGATCAGCACTCCATGGATTACAGAAAGAAAAATACCATTTTTCAGATGCAGCGGTAAATGGAGCCACAGAGCATAGTCCTGACTTTTTGAAAGACAAAGCTCGGTTCACTATTTTAAAGGATCAGGAACCGACTTCTGCCCTCCCACTCCTAACACTAAGGGATTTCTGTGCTTATCCTGTAGCTTCTACAATTTCAAATGTAAAAAGCATCTCGTAAACTGGATTTTGGCCATGGGGGGGCAAAAGAACACTTTGAAAACAACAGCGAAAAGCTCCTTTTGAGCAAAGCTGAAAATAATGACCGCAAAGGTCTTTTCCCAGCTTTCAGAGAAGATGGTCAGTCAGCTCTGCCTATAATAAAACTCACCGTCCTTTAATTCCTTCGATTCCACAGTAAAATGCAATTCAATCAATATTCCTCAAAGCGCAGCAGATCATAGCTAGACTACTACCTGACCAGCTGTCACGCAGCCCTTCTAGGTGTCTCAGACAGATCCCAGCTTCCACCCCGTGGGAGCAGCTCTTGCTGTGATGGCCCAGCTAGACACCGAGGGTAAAAACAAGTTATTAGAACTTTACATTTCATGAAAATACTATGTAATTCTAAAAAAATAAATTTATGTGTGTCAACGAGTGAAGATCTAAATTTACAAAAATTAGGCCCTGTGTAATTGCAGCTGATAATGGCAAAAAAACCAAGACAATGAACCAAGTCAAAGATTTCTTGCAGAGAAGAGGAAAGCTTGCTAAATAATCTCTAATTTGATGGTATTTAGAAGACACTATTATTTTTTGTGGTTTACTGTGATTAATTTGCTGTTAATCTGACTCACAGAGTTTTATCGGGTAATTTTCTCTTAAACAGTAGCCCAGTTTAGACCAAAATTATTTGTGAAATACTCTGTGTGTGTTATAACTGAAAACCAAAGGAAAAAATCTCATTGTTCTTTTTTATTGTGGTAATTATGACCTATACAAAATAAAACTCACTTTAACTCTGTATGAGCTTGTCTTGAGTGAGGGCTGAAAAACAGTCCTTAAATTGGCGATTTCCTTTAACTTAAAAAAAAAAAAAAAAAAGCCCCAAGTGCTTTTTTTCTTGGTATTTTCTCACCGTGTCATGTCACGGTCAGATCTAGATGCATTTTAGTGGCAGAAAAAAGTCATCTCTATTGCCACTGTAGAGTCAACACAATCATGAAATATGGCAGAAGAGTTTATCAGTTCAGGTTTATCAGCGGGATTTCTCATTTGCCATCCCATTGAAATCTCACTGAAAGGAGGAAGCCTTCCCTGATTACTGGAAAAGTTCAAATTATATCAAGAAACAGACAGACTGGTTTAGTGTAAATACCTGCCCGCCCACTGAAATACAGGACCGAGGCTGGTTTACACGCAGTTCTGATTTTGCTGTGTGGGTGTACAACCCAATTTAGCACAAGAACGACTTTGTGTGCCATACAGTATGTAGAAATGCACGTACCTGAAAACCTCATTTCCTTGGGTGTCCCTTGAAGTGAGAGTTTCTGTTTTAGACGCTTCACAGCTACATCGGATGAAATTGTGGGCCTACAGAGAAAAAAAAAAAAAAAAAGGCAAAATTTCAGCTGTGGAAATGAGAGCTTTCACTCTGAATCAGTTTCTTCGCTATTAGATTTCCCCATCAAGTGCATGCAGCGGTACCCAACAGCCCAGCAAAGCCCGCGACACAGAAACACAGGATATGCTGTGGGTCTGTACACGCGTAGCCAAAATGCGGCAGTCCCTGGGCTAGGAAGGCATTTGCTGCGCACTGGGGCTGGACAGCGTGACTCCGCGCACCGCTGGGGTCAGGGTGCACGCTCTGAGTGCTGCGCCCTGTAAACCCAGGAGTCGCCCAAAAAATTGTTGCTGAAAACCTAAAGGAATGAAGATGCCTCTGGGCGAGAGGCAGATTCCATGTAAACTCCTTTAAAAGTTTACAAGAAAGAGGTTTGGTTTTTAAGATAATTGCAATGATTTTTGCAAACACCCACTTGCTGCCTGTGTGCAGAGAGACCTGGAAAGGGGTGACAGTAAATCAAAGTATTTCTATTATTTCTAAAGCATTTCTATTGCAGTATTTCTAATGCAGGCAGATACATTCATGTTTTTACATGACATTAGAAAGACATAATCGTTTGAAATCGAATTAGCTTACCAACGAAAACAGCATAACATTTATTTTAGTCTCATACTCCGTTTGAATGAGATGGTGATGAAGGCAACCTGCCCACACGGACAGGGAAAAGATCGAAAACGCCAGAGCAGAGTACACAAATTGTAAAGAAACAGGTGCAAACCTTAGATAAACTTGTTCGCAGCCTTTTCAGTTATTCCTTGGGGGAGAAAGTATAGTGAATCTAGCTTATTTTGCTTCGTTTTTAAAAAGACCTTGCCCTTTGCCTAACTCCGGTAACCGTGAACTGAAATACTCTGCCTGGCGCAGTGAACGAGG